GGTGGCAATCCCGTCGGCAGATCGTCCGGGAATATCCCACTGTACTGCTTCAGGAGTGCTGCCAAGTCATCCAGTACGTCGGCAAGCAATTTCTGTAAATCCCCCTGCTGTTCTGATGCTTCGGCTTCCCAAATGTCAACTGCGTACACGGCAACTCCTGCTGCTACGGCGTGCTTCATGGTGTTCCCGTTGACACGCACCGATGAAGACTCACGTGAACCCCAGCGAGGTAAGGCGATGTTGTTACCGTTCACTCGCACAGTACAGTCACCCGTCGTCCAGTCGATTCGCGGATTGTGCCGTCGCAACCAATCCCGGCCGAGTAAAATGTCGGTTCTGTCGAGGGTTGTCACGAGCATTTCCTGGCTAAACGTGAAGTTACCCCCGCATCGAATCCGAACCCGGTCTACGCGTTCCCGTATCGCCAGCGGCGTGCCGACAACCAGTCTTGCATCGATCTCAGGTAAGCATCTGTCCAAAGGCAGTTTCAGCTTCCGTGCCGTGGCAGGATTGATGAGGCCGTGGCTGGCTCCCCTGTCTACGGAGATTTTAACCAAGTCTGTCCCAATTTTCTCGCTAAGCAGTATGGGGCTGTCTACCGCGGAACCCTCCTTATAAGGCCGAGCGCGGTCGACTACATGAACCGGCACAATCACTCGGTGAGGGTCGGTTGGGTCAGGCGAGCGGCGTGACCTGTAAGTAGAGGGCCCATCTGCTATTGACTCCAATGTTTCCCTGCTGCTTGGTCTGTTTCTGCTGCTCAGCTTCCCCCTTTCCCTTAGCGTTTTCCGGGCATTTGCTCTTGCGGTGTCCCGGCCGACTGCTCGCGAAGCAGCGCCCTTTGAACGGTGCGGCAGCGGCATTCTCAGCGACGGCACGTATCGTAGCGCCCTCGTTCGTCCCACGAGACCAATGTGCCCAGTTGCTGCTACTTACGTAGGACCCCGGTCTCGGTCGGCGGAAGAAAACGAGTTTCTCCGCCATGGCGAGAATCTCCTGAAAATCGGTGACGCCGCGAAGCTAAATTTCCTGAGCGATGTCGTGCTTCAGGCCGCCGATGTAGCGGTCGACGCGCTCGCTCTCGTGCATGTATCCCACTTGCTCGCATAGCGCCAGAAACCCGCTGGTGTAGTCTTGGACGGAACCGAGTTGGCGCCAAGTGCGGAGCTTCTGTCGCGCCGCGATCGAAGCCGCAATTGGCTCAAATCGAGCGCGCAGACCTGCGCACCACGCGTCCCACGTGCGATATTGGGGCACCTCCACGAAATACGACGGCGCCCAGGGTCCGGTTTGTCCTTCCCGTGTCGATAGAGTCGCATAGTCATTCGGCTTCGTAACGATGACACGCCACCAATCCATGGCGGGTCCTCGCAGTAGCGACACGGCGTAGCGAATCATCGCCGTATCCTCCGAGACGTAGTTGGCGTCGAAGAAAACGTTCATCGTGAACAACCACGCCTGAACGGTAGGACCACCCCGTTGACTTGGGTCAAAGCATGGCGGACGGTGCGGCTTTAACGGCATCAGTGACGGCAGTGCCGGGTCAATGGTCGGTGCCGAAATCGTGACGCGGGGTTGACTTGGGGCCGCATTCGTCGCCTCGGGGTGTGTCGCATCGTGGTCGTCGTCTCCGTCGTGGTGGATGACGCCATCATTGACCGCGCTCGCGGTCGCCCCACACTTACGTGCTGCGATGCCTGTGGTGCCGGCTGTGCCGGAGTGCCAGGTGCTTGAGATTGTGCTTGTTGTGCTCGTGTGAGGTCGTTTTGCAGGGACGAGCGTTCTGCCGTCAGCGCCGCGATTTCCTCCGTTTTCTTGTGAAGTCGGCGCAGCAGATCGTTCAGACGTTCCTGCGTGAGAGTGGTGATATCGATATGTTTGGCCATAATGAAGGGCGTCGGCTCAGCTTAGTCTAGGCGCAGTCGTGGCTGCACGCGTTTACGAGACAACACGAGGACAGTGGCTCCTAGGTGCTAAGGGGCGTGAGTCCCTTCGAGAGAAAAATCAAAAGTGATTTTCTGGGGTGCGGAGATGCGCGGTCCGAAAAGGAAAGAAGCTCTGATACCAAGTGTTACGGGTGCAATGGATCGAGGTAGCGTTGATTGCACTAAGTGTCAAAACGAGTACGAAGTGTGAGCGAAGGCATGAGCGAACATTTATGCGCGAAACATGCGAACGGTAACGCGGTGCGCGCGAGCTAGCTAGTGCTACGTTGGCATCGAGGTTCGGGCTAGTCCCGAAGCGTAGGCCGACACGGCCGGGCCAGCAGTGCGTGGTTTGGCAAAACAGTGCGCGCGAAGTTGGCGAAGCCCCGTTAGCAGTAATGGGCGAACAACGGGTGTTGCTGTACGCGATGTAGCCAGACTCTGTACGGAATGGCGAGAAAATTCTTTACACTAGACCTCGTTTGCTCCGTAGTTGTAATAACTTCCGCGATATTGCATTCTGTGCACTCTTCTTTCATACAACTCATAAGACTGCTCATGTTGTTCTATTTCGCAATCTTCGGTCTCACTAACAACTAAGGGCGTGGAACATTTTTACGACCACGCCATTTGGTCGGATCGATGGTTGTTTCTGGCGATAGCGAAGAATTTAAGGAAACCCCATTGACTGGCATGGATAGTGGTTACCCTGAATTGACCGAAATTCATTGGGATCTCTCGTAAGTATTTAGAGCCGCTCCTCACACTTATTTATTAAAAGGGGTATATTATTTGACTTCCAGTACTTACCCTCAATTGTGTTTGCCCCACATTCTACTCATTCCCGCCCTCCCCAATATCCCACACCTCCTTTCGAATGCTTGAAGTGGGAACAAATGTTTCCGCTAAGTGGGGGTGGTTTCTATTGGGTGCCCCGCGTGCTGGCGAGCAGTGTAGCTTAGAAATTTCGCATCCTTCGCAACTCTGTTACACCTTTCGCTTTCGCCAGATCCAACCATATGGTCTATAAATCGGCGTGGTCGTAAAAATGTTCCACGCCCTAAGGGTACATTCCGCGCTGGACATGTCCTAATCGAAAGTGTCTCAATCGTTTCTACCGCACTGCATCGTATTACACCAAATTACACCCTAGTTTCGAAATTTTCGCGTCTCTGGTTTAGTTCGGTTCGGAGCGGTACACTCGATTGGAACACATCGATTGGGGCATGGTCCACAGCGGAATGTACCCAACTATCGGTAACAACTTTTACGGAGTCGATGCCACGTTGGCTGCGTTCTGTAGGCATTTCCCTTGAAAGGGAGGTGGGGGAGCGAAGGAAAATGACGAGGGTTCCGAAGCAGTTTCCCCTTCGAATCCCCCCCACCTCCCGCTACACCCGAAAGTGGGAGATTTCGGTTGCTCGGTGCGAAGCTGCTAAAGGTAAATGACGAACAAATAGCCACAATTTCCACTGCATAGAAGTTGGGTAGATAGAGCTACACGACATCAGAAAAAGGGTTGAAGTTTAGAGAAGGGTAGCCACGTGGAAAAAAAAACGACCCCAAGCACTCCCACCTGCAATACACAAACCTCGCTGATGGCTTGTGGTTTTTTTGGGGTTGGGTTGCTGCGTCCCTGTTTGGGCTACTCGATGGAGGGGTTGTTGGCTTTCTATGGTTCCGGAGTGGTGTTCCCTAACCCAGTGCCTCCCTCCTCCCTCCGTCTCACATCCTGGGTAAGAGCAGTTTTCGAAAGGGGGGGAGAAGGGGGCAAATTTTGCCAGAGAAGGAAGCTGGGGTGGGTAAAAAGGCAGCTTCCTACGCCCTCATATCCACGAGTGTAAATGGTTGTTCTATTGCCATTTACCTTCGGAGGGTGAATGGAGGCTCGGATCCATTTTCCGGGCTGACCGGGCGTTTGATCCAAAAAACGCAGTTGGGGGAAGGTTCCTATTTACCGCCCCCCCCCTCTGTCGTGCGTGCAGAACGCAGTTGTTGTGGCTTCTGTACGGGACACCATATGATAGAAGCCCGATATAGGACACTTTAGGCTTGCCGAAGGCACCTCTCGATTCCCAAAACTAATTTCTCGGCAATTCAACAAAAGTAGTGTCAGATAAGGGCCCTGTTCGACAGGCACATGGCCACGGAAAGGAAACGGAAGTGGGTGAGGCTTCCGCCGGGGGTTCCCTTCTGACCACCCCAACCGGACCTGCTGACGTCATGCCACCGTTTCTTTCGCCCCTTTTGGCAGAACCTTCGGACGGAAAATGCAGAAACCCCACCCACAACTTCGCCAAAACGAGGGAGTGTACTTCAAATCTGGCATGCGCGAAATCAAGGCAACGGATGACAGCTAGGGTCATTCGAAAACTACAAAAAAAGGGGGAAACTAAGGGTACGTTCCTGGCTGGTGTCAAGCTTCGGGCCTTCCCAGGAAGACCCGAAGCTTTGGGTTATACTTCCTATCAAACTTTGTGTTTTCCGGAAACAGGGGCAATTTTTGGCCGGAAGACCCGAAGTTGGTCTCGGATGACCCAAAGTGGGTCTAACTTCCGGTCATCCGCGGATGACCGGAAGCTTGACACGCGCCAGGAACGTACCCTAAGAAGACACAAACCGTGCTCGAACAGGTTTGTTAGGGAGAGCAGGTTTTTTCTATGAGAACTAACCATTTGAAGGCATGTATATTTGTCCAGGGGGCGTTTTGCTGGGTAAACCCTCGGTATCCCGTTCCCCAGCAGCTCCGTTCCATGTCAGCAAGGGTTCCGCGATTTGAGTGGTTTGTAGGGGGGCTGGAGGCGGAAATCGTGTTTGCCTGGGGAGGAAGGTCTGTCTGAAGTTCGGGATCTGCAATTCCGTGGTGGAAAATGGCCCGAGTGTTCTGCAGCCATCCACTTTCTGTTTGGTTCGGACGGAAAATGGCAGGCTCGAGACAAGTTTTAGGGCTGACCGCACTTTCGAACCTAAAAAATCAGGGGCACGAAGGTACCTACTTTCCTTAGCATAGCCATCGAGGTGCCTGTCGAACAGGGCCAAGTTCTTCGCCACTTGGTTCGCGAAAGTACGTACGCGATGGCGGGAGTGAAGCGGGCTCGGCGCGCAGCGGCGTCGTCGCGGTCGCCGTCGCGGTCGCCGTCGCCGGAGATGGACGTGCTCTACTACAACCTGCTGCTCGCCGCGCTGCGCGCGCGCCAGGACGCCGGCGTCGCGTACTACGGCGCGTTCGTCGCGGACCCCGAGCCCGTGCCGCCCGACCTCTACGCGCACTGGGTGCCGCCGCCCGGCTCCTTCGCCGTGCAGCGCGCCGACGGCGACGACGACGAGCGCGGCGCGGAGGACGAGGACGCGGCGGGGAGGGACGGCGCGGACGACACGGACGTCGACGCGGGGGAGCACGCGGGGTCGGACGGCGAGGGGGGTGCGGAAGGCGCATCGGCGGAAGCGGTGGTCGCGCGCAGGGGGCCTGGCAGGCCGCGGTCGGCGCGGAGTCGGCCGGGCGCGTCAGCAGGCGGGGCAGCGGCGGGCGCGGAGGGCGGCGCGGCGGCGAGCGAGGAGACGATGATGCCCGCGTGGCTGAAGGAGCTGATCGCGGCGGACAGGGAGAGGGCCGCGCAGCAGCAGGGCGGGGAGCACGGCGGGGGCGAGCAGGCGCAGCAGCAGGCGGGAGCGGAGGGGCTGTCGTTCCCCGTGGTGGACAGCAACATGATCCGCGGGTCGTTCCCCGCTGCTGTGGCCGCCGTGCGCTTCCTGGAGCGCGCCAGGCGCCGCCTGGGGGGGCTGCCGGGGCGCACGGGGGAGGTGGAGATGGGCGGAGGGGTGGGCGGGGAGGGGGAGAAGTGGAAGGACCGGCTGGCGGAGGAGATGATGACGTCAGCGCTGGGCGTAAAGGGCACGCTGGGGTCGCGGGAGGGCGGGGGAGGGCGGGAGGGCGGGGGGGAGGCGAAGATAGAGCGGTGGACGCCCAACGAGGACGCCATCCTGCTGGTGGGGCGCGTGCTGTTCGGCACGCGGTGGATCAGCATTGAACGCATCCTGCCCGGCCGGTGCGTGGGAGTGCGATTGCGAGTGTGCGTGAAAGTGTGAGTGGGTGTGTGCGTGAAAGTGTGAGTGGGTGTGTGCGTGAAAGTGTGAGTGGGTGTGTGCGTGAAAGTGTGAGTGGGTGTGTGCGTGAAAGTGTGAGTGGGTGTGTGCGTGAAAGTGTGAGTGGGTGTGTGCGTGAAAGTGTGAGTGGGTGTGTGCGTGAAAGTGTGAGTGGGTGTGTGCGTGAAAGTGTGAGTGGGTGTGTGCGTGAAAGTGTGAGTGGGTGTGTGCGTGAAAGTGTGAGTGGGTGTGTGCGTGAAAGTGTGAGTGGGTGTGTGCGTGAAAGTGTGAGTGGGTGTGTGCGTGAAAGTGTGAGTGGGTGTGTGCGTGAAAGTGTGAGTGGGTGTGTGCGTGAAAGTGTGAGTGGGTGTGTGCGTGAAAGTGTGAGTGGGTGTGTGCGTGAAAGTGTGAGTGGGTGTGTGCGTGAAAGTGTGAGTGGGTGTGTGCGTGAAAGTGTGAGTGGGTGTGTGCGTGAAAGTGTGAGTGGTTGTGTGCGTGAAAGTGTGAGTGGGTGTGTGCGTGAAAGTGTGAGTGGGTGTGTGCGTGAAAGTGTGAGTGGGTGTGTGCGTGAAAGTGTGAGTGGGTGTGTGCGTGAAAGTGTGAGTGGGTGTGTGCGTGAAAGTGTGAGTGGGTGTGTGCATGAAAGTGTGAGTGGGTGTGTGCGTGAAAGTGTGAGTGGGTGTGTGCGTGAAAGTGTGAGTGGGTGTGTGCGTGAAAGTGTGAGTGGGTGTGTGCGTGAAAGTGTGAGTGGGTGTGTGCGTGAAAGTGTGAGTGGGTGTGTGCGTGAAAGTGTGAGTGGGTGTGTGCGTGAAAGTGTGAGTGGGTGTGTGCGTGAAAGTGTGAGTGGGTGTGTGCGTGAAAGTGTGAGTGGGTGTGTGCGTGAAAGTGTGAGTGGGTGTGTGCGTGAAAGTGTGAGTGGGTGTGTGCATGAAAGTGTGAGTGGGTGTGTGCGTGAAAGTGTGAGTGGGTGTGTGCGTGAAAGTGTGAGTGGGTGTGTGCGTGAAAGTGTGAGTGGGTGTGTGCGTGAAAGTGTGAGTGGGTGTGTGCGTGAAAGTGTGAGTGGGTGTGTGCGTGAAAGTGTGAGTGGGTGTGTGCGTGAAAGTGTGAGTGGGTGTGTGCGTGAAAGTGTGAGTGGGTGTGTGCGTGAAAGTGTGAGTGGGTGTGTGCGTGAAAGTGTGAGTGGGTGTGTGCGTGAAAGTGTGAGTGGGTGTGTGCGTGAAAGTGTGAGTGGGTGTGTGCATGAAAGTGTGAGTGGGTGTGTGCGTGAAAGTGTGAGTGGGTGTGTGCATGAAAGTGTGAGTGGGTGTGTGCGTGAAAGTGTGAGTGGGTGTGTGCGTGAAAGTGTGAGTGGGTGTGTGCGTGAAAGTGTGAGTGGGTGTGTGCGTGAAAGTGTGAGTGGGTGTGTGCGTGAAAGTGTGAGTGGGTGTGTGCGTGAAAGTGTGAGTGGGTGTGTGCGTGAAAGTGTGAGTGGGTGTGTGCGTGAAAGTGTGAGTGGGTGTGTGCGTGAAAGTGTGAGTGGGTGTGTGCGTGAAAGTGTGAGTGGGTGTGTGCGTGAAAGTGTGAGTGGGTGTGTGCGTGAAAGTGTGAGTGGTTGTGTGCGTGAAAGTGTGAGTGGGTGTGTGCGTGAAAGTGTGAGTGGGTGTGTGCGTGAAAGTGTGAGTGGGTGTGTGCATGAAAGTGTGAGTGGGTGTGTGCGTGAAAGTGTGAGTGGGTGTGTGCGTGAAAGTGTGAGTGGGTGTGTGCGTGAAAGTGTGAGTGGGTGTGTGCATGAAAGTGTGAGTGGGTGTGTGCGTGAAAGTGTGAGTGGGTGTGTGCGTGAAAGTGTGAGTGGGTGTGTGCGTGAAAGTGTGAGTGGGTGTGTGCGTGAAAGTGTGAGTGGGTGTGTGCGTGAAAGTGTGAGTGGGTGTGTGCGTGAAAGTGTGAGTGGGTGTGTGCGTGAAAGTGTGAGTGGGTGTGTGCGTGCCCACTGCAGCACCCGGTGGATCAGCATTGGACGCACCCTGCCCGCCCGGCCGGTGCGTGTGTGCGGCGGCGTGCCCATTGCCCACTGCCCACTGCTGCAACTCTTGTCACTCACTCTCGCTGTGCAGCGCCGCGTGCTCCTTTAGTGAAGGGCATCCGCGGCGCCTAAATAACGCCCTGGCTGGTTGTCACCCAGTGGGTATCAAGGGACCCCCGCGCTACCGCAACTCAACGCTTGCCTCGTTGCTCCCCCCCCACTTGCCATCCCCAACACCAACCCCACGGCCACGGCCACGGAGCAGGTCGATCCAGGCCATCAAGACGCGCTGGCTCAACTACCTCAAGGGCCTCTTCCGCCTTTTGAGGCGCCTCACAACTTGCATCATCCCTTCCCTCTCTCCCATCCCCCCCCAAACCCCCAACACCCCCCCTCGCCGTACAGGTCAATCCAGGCCATCAAGACGCGGTGGCTCAACTACCTCAAGGGCCTCTTCCGCCGCCACCGCTGGTGCACCACCGCGCTCGCCCCCCCGCCCTCCAAGGAGGCCGCCGCCGCCCTCCCCCCGCCCCCCTCCCCCCCGCCCACCCCTCCCCCCGCGCCCGCCCCTTCCACGTCAGCAGCCACTCAGGCAGAGGCTGTTTCAGCAGAGGCACGCGCGTCCACCCCGCCGCCCTCTGCTGCTGCTGCCAGTGCCCCCCCTGCAACCCACCCTCGCCTCTCGCTCCCCCTGCCTGCATCGGCCACACCCCCACCTTCCGCCCCTCCCCCGCCTGCGGCGGCGGCAGGCAGTCAGGGCGCGGCAGGGAGGGCGCTGCTGAGCATGCCGGCTGGGCCACTGGCTGGAGCAGCCGCAGATGGCAACGCAGGCAGAGCAGCATGTGGTGGTGGCGTGGTGGCATCAGCAGTGGGGGTCACACCCACCAAGCGGTCGCGCTCCCAGTCCTCCCGTGCCCCCGCCGCCACGCCCACGGCTCCCACAGCAGCACAAGGCGCGGAGGAGAAGGGAGGAGGGGATGAGGGAGAGGCGGGAGGGGAGGAGGAGCGGGTGCGGCGGCACGAGCGGTACCTGACATGCCTCATGCTGCGCGCCGAGAAGGGCCCGCCGCCGCACTCCCTCGCCGCCACGCACGAGCTCTACTGCTTCGCCTGCAAGTCGTCTGAGGGCCAGCTGTCGCCGTGCTATTGGTCGGACGAGGCAGTGGCGGCGACGGCAGCAGAGTGGGGTGGCGGGGGCGGGGCGGTGGTGGGGCTGATCCCGTGCGCCAAGGCTTACCATGCTCGCTGCGTGCACGCTGCCGTTAAGGTGAGTTCATAGGGGAAGGTGAGTGAATGGCAGTCAAGGGGAGCAGGGCGAGGTGAGTCCATGCAGGTAGGTGAGCCAATGGGGCAAGCAGAATGGCTTATAGTTTGAGTATTCACCTCTTTGCCTTGCCTTGCCTCCATGGCCTTGCCTCCATGGCCTTGCCCTGTCCCTGCAGCAAGCTTGGCTGCTCCTCACTGCTTCGCACCACTTTCACCTCTTCCTGTGCTTCCACCATCCCCCTCGCCCTGCTCTTCTCCATCCCCCCCGCCCTGCCTGCCTCCTTGCCATTCCTCCCCGCTGTTGCGCCCTGCTCTCTGCTTGACATGCAGGACGGATGCCCGTTCATCTGCCCGAGGCATCAGTGCAAGCAGCGCGGGTGCCGGGCGGCAGTGGCAGTGGTGTGTCGCAGCTGCCCCTCCTCCTGGTGCGCCCTGCACGTGCCGCCCCCCTCTCTCGACTGCGAGCCCTCGTTTCTGAGAAGGTTCCGCGTGCAGCCGCAAGTGCACATCACCATCTGCCCCTCCTGCCAGGTGGGTGCCGGGGGTGGGTCTAAGTGGGAATAAGTGGGTCTAAGTGGGTATAAGTGGAAAGTGGGGGGGAAGGGAGGGAGGGGGGGGGAGGGTTTAAGTGGAAAGGAGGGGGGGTGTGTCTAAGTGGGAAGGGGGAGGGGTGGGTCTAAGTGGAAGGGGGGGGCTGTGTGGTGGGTTGCTGGGTGTGTGGTGGGTTGCTGAGTGTGTGGATTGGGTGCATGATTACATGTGTGTGTGCATTTCTACCCACACTCACCCACACCCATTGTTGATCGATGGCCTGTCACCCAGCACGCCATGTGGCCTGTCACCCAGCACGCCATGTGGCCTGTCACCCAGCACGCCATGTGGCCTGTCACCCAGCACGCCATGTGGCCTGTCATGTCACCCAGCACGCCATGTGGCCTGTCACCCAGCACGCCATGTGGCCTGTCATGTCACCCAGCACGCCATGTGGCCTGTCACCCAGCACGCCATGTGGCCTGTCACCCAGCACGCCATGTGGCCTGTCACCCAGCACGCCATGTGGCCTGTCACCCAGCACGCCATGTGGCCTGTCACCCAGCACGCCATGTGGCCTGTCACCCAGCACGCCATGTGGCCTGTCACCCAGCACGCCATGTGGCCTGTCACCCAGCACGCCATGTGGCCTGTCACCCAGCACGCCATGTGGCCTGTCACCCAGCACGCCATGTGGCCTGTCACCCAGCACGCCATGTGGCCTGTCACCCAGCACGCCATGTGGCCTGTCACCCAGCACGCCATGTGGCCTGTCACCCAGCACGCCATGTGGCCTGTCACCCAGCACGCCATGTGGCCTGTCACCCAGCACGCCATGTGGCCTGTCACCCAGCACGCCATGTGGCCTGTCACCCAGCACGCCATGTGGCCTGTCACCCAGCACGCCATGTGGCCTGTCATGTCACCCAGCACGCCATGTGGCCTGTCACCCAGCACGCCATGTGGCCTGTCATGTCACCCAGCACGCCATGTGGCCTGTCACCCAGCACGCCATGTGGCCTGTCACCCAGCACGCCATGTGGCCTGTCACCCAGCACGCCATGTGGCCTGTCACCCAGCACGCCATGTGGCCTGTCACCCAGCACGCCATGTGGCCTGTCACCCAGCACGCCATGTGGCCTGTCACCCAGCACGCCATGTGGCCTGTCACCCAGCACGCCATGTGGCCTGTCACCCAGCACGCCATGTGGCCTGTCACCCAGCACGCCATGTGGCCTGTCACCCAGCACGCCATGTGGCCTGTCACCCAGCACGCCATGTGGCCTGTCACCCAGCACGCCATGTGGCCTGTCACCCAGCACGCCATGTGGCCTGTCACCCAGCACGCCATGTGGCCTGTCACCCAGCACGCCATGTGGCCTGTCACCCAGCACGCCATGTGGCCTGTCACCCAGCACGCCATGTGGCCTGTCACCCAGCACGCCATGTGGCCTGTCACCCAGCACGCCATGTGGCCTGTCACCCAGCACGCCATGTGGCCTGTCACCCAGCACGCCATGTGGCCTGTCACCCAGCACGCCATGTGGCCTGTCACCCAGCACGCCATGTGGCCTGTCACCCAGCACGCCATGTGGCCTGTCACCCAGCACGCCATGTGGCCTGTCACCCAGCACGCCATGTGGCCTGTCACCCAGCACGCCATGTGGCCTGTCACCCAGCACGCCATGTGGCCTGTCACCCAGCACGCCATGTGGCCTGTCACCCAGCACGCCATGTGGCCTGTCACCCAGCACGCCATGTGGCCTGTCACCCAGCACGCCATGTGGCCTGTCACCCAGCACGCCATGTGGCCTGTCACCCAGCACGCCATGTGGCCTGTCACCCAGCACGCCATGTGGCCTGTCACCCAGCACGCCATGTGGCCTGTCACCCAGCACGCCATGTGGCCTGTCACCCAGCACGCCATGTGGCCTGTCACCCAGCACGCCATGTGGCCTGTCACCCAGCACGCCATGTGGCCTGTCACCCAGCACGCCATGTGGCCTGTCATGTCACCCAGCACGCCATGTGGCCTGTCACCCAGCACGCCATGTGGCCTGTCACCCAGCACGCCATGTGGCCTGTCACCCAGCACGCCATGTGGCCTGTCACCCAGCACGCCATGTGGCCTGTCATGTCACCCAGCACGCCATGTGGCCTGTCACCCAGCACGCCATGTGGCCTGTCACCCAGCACGCCATGTGGCCTGTCACCCAGCACGCCATGTGGCCTGTCACCCAGCACGCCATGTGGCCTGTCACCCAGCACGCCATGTGGCCTGTCACCCAGCACGCCATGTGGCCTGTCACCCAGCACGCCATGTGGCCTGTCACCCAGCACGCCATGTGGCCTGTCACCCAGCACGCCATGTGGCCTGTCACCCAGCACGCCATGTGGCCTGTCACCCAGCACGCCATGTGGCCTGTCACCCAGCACGCCATGTGGCCTGTCACCCAGCACGCCATGTGGCCTGTCACCCAGCACGCCATGTGGCCTGTCATGTCACCCAGCACGCCATGTGGCCTGTCACCCAGCACGCCATGTGGCCTGTCACCCAGCACGCCATGTGGCCTGTCACCCAGCACGCCATGTGGCCTGTCACCCAGCACGCCATGTGGCCTGTCACCCAGCACGCCATGTGGCCTGTCACCCAGCACGCCATGTGGCCTGTCATGTCACCCAGCACGCCATGTGGCCTGTCACCCAGCACGCCATGTGGCCTGTCACCCAGCACGCCATGTGGCCTGTCACCCAGCACGCCATGTGGCCTGTCACCCAGCACGCCATGTGGCCTGTCACCCAGCACGCCATGTGGCCTGTCACCCAGCACGCCATGTGGCCTGTCACCCAGCACGCCATGTGGCCTGTCACCCAGCACGCCATGTGGCCTGTCACCCAGCACGCCATGTGGCCTGTCATGTCACCCAGCACGCCATGTGGCCTGTCACCCAGCACGCCATGTGGCCTGTCACCCAGCACGCCATGTGGCCTGTCATGTCACCCAGCACGCCATGTGGCCTGTCACCCAGCACGCCATGTGGCCTGTCATGTCACCCAGCACGCCATGTGGCCTGTCACCCAGCACGCCATGTGGCCTGTCACCCAGCACGCCATGTGGCCTGTCACCCAGCACGCCATGTGGCCTGTCACCCAGCACGCCATGTGGCCTGTCACCCAGCACGCCATGTGGCCTGTCACCCAGCACGCCATGTGGCCTGTCACCCAGCACGCCATGTGGCCTGTCACCCAGCACGCCATGTGGCCTGTCACCCAGCACGCCATGTGGCCTGTCACCCAGCACGCCATGTGGCCTGTCATGTCACCCAGCACGCCATGTGGCCTGTCACCCAGCACGCCATGTGGCCTGTCACCCAGCACGCCATGTGGCCTGTCACCCAGCACGCCATGTGGCCTGTCACCCAGCACGCCATGTGGCCTGTCACCCAGCACGCCATGTGGCCTGTCACCCAGCACGCCATGTGGCCTGTCACCCAGCACGCCATGTGGCCTGTCACCCAGCACGCCATGTGGCCTGTCACCCAGCACGCCATGTGGCCTGTCACCCAGCACGCCATGTGGCCTGTCACCCAGCACGCCATGTGGCCTGTCACCCAGCACGCCATGTGGCCTGTCACCCAGCACGCCATGTGGCCT